TACTAAAGTTGTACTACAAAGTCGCCAGTTCTCATCGTCCAGCTCGCCAGATACTCCGCGTACTAAAGTTGTATACAGAGTTGCCAGTTCTCAGCTTCCAGCTCTACAGATTGCTCCGCGTACTAAAGTTGTACTACAAAGTCGCCAGTTCTCACCATCCAGCTCCACAGATACTCGGCGTACTACAGTTGTACTACAGAGTCGCCAGTTCTCAGCTTCCAGCTCTACAGATTGCTCCGCGTACTCAAGTTGTACCATCCAGCTCGACAGATACTCCGTGTAGTACAGTTGTACTACAAAGTCGCCAGTTCTCCTCTTCCAGCTCGCCAAATACTCCGTGTACTAAAGTTGTACTAGAAAGTCGCCAGTTCTCAGCAGATTGCTCCGCGTACTGAAGTTGTACTACAAAGTCGCCAGTTCTCATCGTCCAGCTTGCCAGATACTCCGCGTACTAAAGTTGTACTACAACGTCGCCAGTTCTCAGCTTCCACCTCACAAATTGCTCCGCGTACTAAAGTTGTACTACAAAGTCGCCAGCTCTCAGCTTCCAGCTCCCAGTTGCTGTGCCTGCCCCGAAATCTCCACATGGAGGTTCAGAAAGTGCTGCGCCTGCCACGAAATCTGCACATGGAGGTTCACAAAGTGCTGTGCCTGACCTGAAATCTGCACCTTGAGGTTCACAAAGTGCTGCACCTGCCACGAAATCTGCACATGAGGGTTCACATAGTGCTGTGCTTGCCGCGACATCTGCACCTCGAAGTTCACAAAGTGCTGCACCTGCCACGAAATCTGCACATGCAGGTTCACAAAGTGCTGCGCCTGCCACGAAATCTGCACTTCAAGAGACAAGTGAAAACCTAACCACAATGGACGGACGATTGAGCATGACCCGAGACCGTCTCGCAACCCTCGTTCCGCAGAGCTAGACTTGCCAGGTTCGAAGCCACCGTTTCTATTGAAAAATACAGCATTTCGTGCGTCCGCTATCTCTCGAAAACGCATTTTGTATTGCACCTGCCACAAAATCTGCACATGGAGGTTCACAATTGCTGCACCTGCCACGAAATCTGATGAGTGGTGTATGATGAGTGGTGGTTGAACAGCTGTTGAATGTCCGTAACACGGAAGTTTTGCACACTAAACTTCCTTTGATTACTTCATATTATCGGTTTTTTTGTAACGCGTGGAGATCCAATGATACCCGGATCTGTGAGGGGCTCCACAGTATATCTGAATATCTCCCACATTTCTTCTCAGCTTGACAAGGAGCAAAGCAGGTTTGATGGTGCGATTGTGATTCAGGCACCCCCAACTCAAGCCTTACTCATCAGGAATATTCCCTGGCTTGAATCAATGTGTTTTTGGATGTTGCACGAAGAGGATCAACATGTCTAGTCAAGCTACAGTGCAAGTATCAAATATTTTTTTGTCAGTTGTTGCTAGTGACCAGTGGCCCAAGACCCAATTCCAATCAATACAGGAGACTGTCGACTGCATCCTTTTTTCTCCTGCATCTTGTGAATATTAGGAATGGGTGATTACCGCAATTCTGACAGGAGTAGGAGGTAAAGTTAAAGCCTTGCTTGCAAAATTTCATGCACAGGATTTCGTATTATAGACCGGTGGTTGTTCACATAGTGAAGTGAAGACTTTCGATGGGCACAACACACATGCGGCGCACATGCGGGATTCCTGCCCGAACTGTGCCAGGAGGAAAGTGCTCCGTTCATGGCTCTCTCCACTCTCTCCCAATCACAGAGCCACACAGTCGGGCTCTTTAAGCCTCACATCCAAGAATCTGCCGCTCATGTCCTCCAGTCACTAACACCAACCAACTGTTAAGCCAAGTCAAGCCACCCAGACCCGCCACTCCGACCCCGACTTCGCGTCCCTTCACCCCGAGAAGCCTCTGAGAGGCGCAAGACCTCCGAAAGCGTCTCCGCCGCAAGGCCCAAGCGAAAGGCCGGCAGCCGCTGCAGGAGGACCTGACGCGCGCGCGCGCGCACGCGCGTTCGTCGGCATCGGCCTCTCTGCGGAGCCGGCGTTTTCGTCGGGACTGGCGAGGCTCGAACTGGACCGGTTGATCGAAACGACGTCGTTTGAACAACGTGCCTTTTGAAGAAAGGTAGGGAAGAGCGAAGGTGATGGCTTTTGGAGGGATTGACAGAAGAGTGTGAAATCTGCTGTTTCAGATGCTCGATGAGAGTCCTGCCATTTTTGCAGAGGGGGTGGAATGCTTCCATGTGAATATTTGGAGCCCAAGATCAATCAAAAGCTCAACAAAGTCTATATGCTCTATGTGATGCTCTATCCATCCAAAACAAACGTGGAAGTGGACCACCCTTTCTTGTAGAGCAGCTCCCGAGCTTGTCTTCCCTTCAAAACCGAACACTGCCAGTTTTCCCATGTCATGCCTTTGCCACCTCTGAGCTGCTCAGCACCTGCTCCTGATGGGTGGCCAGGGTGCCCAGAACAGAAAACGGAAGGAACGCGTGGAAGGCTATGAGAATCATCAGAAAATCCGTCCCACCAAGAACAGGTGAGGCACGGCTTCCGGCACCATGGAGTGGCTTTCGCACCGGCTCGCCTTGACCGGCTTAGCCACCGGCTTCTCATCACCGGCCTCGGGTTCCATGTCCGGCTCAGCCTGTGGGGGCGAAGGGCTCATGTGCTCAATTTATCCCAAAAACGCATCAGTCGCTGTGGCTAGGGCAAAGGTCCAATCCCAGTCAATGCGGAGACGGTATTGTTTTGTGACCCACCAAACTGCAAAAACCTTGATTGCTTTTCATGTGCAAGTCAAGCCATCATTCTTACGAAAGTAGTGGTTCATTCAGGAACGGGCAAAGCCTGGCAGAAATTCATGTACAGGATGTCGCGTATTGTTTTCTTGTGTGCCACAGGCTTGTGTCAGGTTGTTCATGCACACACACATATATATATATAATATATATATATAACTATATAACCATATAGTGAAGAATCCCTTTTATGGGCACAACACGCATGCGTAGCTCTTGCCCCAAGCCTCCACCTCAACAGGCTGTGCTAAAAAACGGTGCGCGCAGTATTCTTGATATTGACTGGGATATGAAAGATCAAATTGGTCAAGGAACAAGACATTTGGCTACTTGTGTTCCTTGACGTAAAAATTGTTTCGAGGGGTGAGCTGAATTCACTATGCCTGCTCCAGATGGTGAGGCAGTGTGTCCTGAAAACGACTTTCGTTGGTGTGAACTATATATATACATTGATTTGATTGCGCATACTCTACTAAAAGCCATGGCCGCAACACTTATTCCTGGGACCAAAAAGAGCGAGGTCGCCGCTAAGCATGCTTTGAAGAACAATGGTACTTTCATCGTATGCTTCAAGATGCTAGTTCGGAAGGGAGTCATCGATTTGCCTTTCGCATATTGTCAATTCTCCCGATGCTTCAGCACGTATATTGGGCTTCTCTTCAGCGAGGCCAGGTATTTCTTCCCGACCTTCCCTGGTAGGTGGCATCAACGCTGCACGCTGGTTTCAGAACACTCTAACCAGACTCGGAATGATTTATGCGTTGCCTTGACGACACCGCCACATGTCCAAATTGGCAATTGACATCATTAATTGCCACAAGCTTTGTTTTCTTTGTTCGGCCCCTGGCCACGTCCTCCTTTCTAGCCTTCGTCGTGCCTACTGTGCATTTGTGTTCCATTTTTCTCGCTGTATCTTGTTCCTGCATCGGGGACCAACCAAGTTGTGCCCTCAAATCATTGCAAGGAGGCAAGAAAGGTCAATTTCATGAGTTCCCAAAGAGATACTTTTACATTCGGAATGATTCGGACACGTTGGTCGCAGCTGTTCGGATCAGAACAGGAGCGGCTCGATTGAACCATGCATGGCCATCTCCCTTCGAACGTCTCGATGGATCGGCCTCGGTTTCAGCGGAGGTCAGCGGCCTGGCCAGCAGAGACACCAACGAGTTGGAGCGGAGACACCAACGATCCTGGTTAGGGGTGTTTTCATCGGGGGGGCTTTAGTCAACAGTCTGCACTACGTCCCTCTGACATTCAAAATAGCTCACACAACGCAAAGCATCGAGAGTCTCAGGGCTGTTCTGGTTTTGAGATGTTCAAAGCCAACGCACAAATTGGGCAGCACATGGGCCCCGGGCCTTCCCAGAAAGAACCTTTGCTGTTTGGGGATAGCCAGTTCTGGCAGGGCTTTCCCAACAGCAGAATGGCTGTTGGGCTTCAATCTTTGGTTGTCTGGGACTGGTCTGGGTGTAGAAAGTGTAAGAAGACATGTGTTGCCTGTTGTGGTGAGATTCTCCACCCTGGCCTAGACCAATCTGCTCCTTCCAAACCGTGAACCACTTGTGTCAAGCACCCTGAGTGGTCTTCAAACCATGCTTCCCAGCTCGGCAGGCTGTTCCTTCAAGACGACTCCCCAAACCACTCGCTGCCAAGTGAGGTGACAAAACCACGCAGGACCACACAGCAACCAAGTGAAAATGATGCGCGAGCTGGTCGCGTGGTCCTTTCTCGTCTTCTGGCCCACGTGGGCTCTCGCAGCTCTGGATTCGATCGCAGCCGCCGACCATGGATTTCAACCATCTTTTCAAACAACTATATACTCGTTTGTCGTATGTCTACGAGTTCAATACTTGGAGTTCACCCAGTTCAATCGGATTTGCCCGCCTTCGCAAACACAGCAGCTCGGCCGCAGCCGCCAGCTGGGCCACCTGTCCCGGTGGCTTCGATGTGATGTCAAATGCTATAGCACGAATGGCAAAAAGCCAGATCCATTCGGTTGATAGACTGACAAAGCCCATGCAATGGCAAGTTCAGGGGACACCACCCTGGATGCCCCAACTGTCCACATTGATCCTTTGGACAATGTCTTGCTAGTCTGTTTGTGCTACCAGAAACTCAGCTGAGCTGGTTTATATAGATTGATGTTCCTTTGCAGTGGCTTCTGAGGTGACATCAAGTCAAAAACCCCTCTCACATCATCCAAGCATTCTCTCTCCTACCTCCATGAGCTTCTCAGGCATGACCAGCCGGACCAAACCCTCGTGTACACGTGAGGCGTTCAGGGCCTCAGTGGAGGTTGGCACTTCGATGAGAGCATCTCCACTGAATTCAATTCTATTATATAAATTCGATGTTCTGACCGACTCCCCTTCATTGTTCATGTCTCAACTGGAATCAATTGTTCTCCACTTCCGAGTCATGTCTGAAGCACGAGGAGTACTTCCAGCCAATTGCCCTGGGCGCAGCTTGGTTTTTTTGGGGGCCCTGCACGGCTGACGGATCGCACCAAAGCCTGTCACTCCAAACTGACTCCACTTGGGAATCTGAAACGGTTGGATTTGGCACAGGGGCCTCCGCATGTCACCCCGCCAAGAATCGAGATGTTCATACTATCTATCTCAAGCCTCAAATGGTGCTGAAGACATGACTTGGTGCTTCATCCCAGTTTGCAGGCCTTTACATGACATCACTCATCACCACCTTTGGTGCAAACGCAAACTCTCTTTGGTCCAGAACCCCCGCCCATCCTTCTCTCGATGTCCGCTGGAGGAAAGTGCCGGGAATTCCTGGCGATGAGGCCAAGTTGGCGAATTTGTTGGGAGCATCAGCGGTCTCCTTGAACCTACATTACTGTACATATACTTGATTATGCTTGGGAGTTTACTCACAGATCCACTTCCGAGAAGATAGGCATGGGCTATACATGGCTATACAATCTACAATCCACACTACCACATGCCATTTAACTCGTACATCGTACGATTGTGGACCCCTCGGCGATGTTGGAACTCGTCCTGATGGTAGGCAAATCTAAAACGTTGCTGGAATATGGATAAGGCTAATTATATAAAAGGATGCCGCATGGACAGCCAAACATGTCGCAGGACGTGTGCACTTAAGAAATCTCATGTCCTAAGAATTTAAGCTTTGGAACAGGACATATCTTTTTTGGCACATGTCCTGGCAGATTCAGCATCGAACTCCATAATCTTTCGAGATCCTCCTTCCACTCAAAAAAGCGGCCGTCTTTTCTCGCGAGTGGCGAGTGGCGAGTGGGGCACAAGGCGAGTGTCGTCTCGAAGATGGCCCTTCCAACGTTGGAACCGACCTGAAGAACCGAGCTCTTAGCGGCTCCAAGGTTTGCCTGGAAGTGGCGCCCATCCGATCCAAAAGGAACAAACGTCTCGGATCCGATTTGGACTAGGTCATATCTCAGGGTTGATCCGTTAGGATCCACAGGGTTATTCTCAGTGTTGAAAAGAGCCTTGAATTGTAAGCCTCTGGGGTCCAGCCGTGGCTTCTTTTGGTGCCTTTTCCAAAAACATGGACGACATGGACTGCCCAAATGCTGGATCAACCCAGAGCTTTCCTAGTCAACCGAAGGAGGCTCGCATGAAAAGCCCATCCCAACTCACACGGGGCCGTCGGCCATAGCCACACAGGGTTGACGGCCGCAGAAAACTCGCTTGAAGCGGCAAGCGCCCAGCGCACACCGGTCATGGTTCTTGGTCAAATACGTGTTGGGGAATACAGTAATACGTGTATATATATATATATAAGAAACCAATGTGGATGTTTCTTAGCCCGAGCTTCATGACCGGTGCAAGGAGATCCGCTGAGGATCCTTCTGTACAAAGGCCAGGAGCCTCCCAAGCTAATCCTTGGCAGTCCTCAGTTGCTATAATGAGTCTCTGGATGACTGGCCATATTCAGGTCCTTCCTTACCCTCCTACTGGTAATTGTATCGCCCATAAAGGTCTACTGCTTTCTGCCAGCTTCACTACAGCTTTCTCGAGGTGTGATCGATGTTATGTTTTGGCCAAGCAGCTGCGTTGTCAGGCATGCCAATCTGTCACAATCTCATCCTAAGGTGCCAGGTGCATCAAAAGCAACCTCCACAAGACTTCTTTGACCTGGGATTCATGCTCTATTCGTTAAAAACCGCTGCAAGCCCAACGGAACTGCCTGCAGAAGACCTCACCGACCTCACACTGAAAAAATGCGTCCCTTTGCTCGTGATCCCCTTCGCCTCGTGCATCCAAGGTGCATGATTAAGAAAAGCAATGTACTGGAGCACCGGCAAGAAAGGCAGCCCAAGGCACTGCGGGCGGCGGCATTTTCGGTCAAATGAGATGAAAAGCGGCCGCAAATGGCTGTGGATCAACACAGGGGGACCCGGGTTCACCACGAAACATGAACAGCTAAACGATCACTACCGCTGGCGCGAGGTCTCTTGACCCATCCCAGTTTCATGGTCCTTCTTGGCGAGCTCTCGTTTCATGGTCCTTCCTTCTTGGTCCGTCTGTGGTAAGCAACCAGACTCGGCAACTGCCAGCCTGTACCCAACCTGGGCTGAGCACAAGAGACTTCAAGAAACCTCGGGGGGAACCTCAGGGACCTGTGAGTCGTTTGCAATGGAGCTGAGCCTGTTTGAGGGCTTTTCGAACCCCGGCCCCCCTGGAATTGACCCCCCCCCCCCCCCCCCCCAATACAAGAAGAATGCCTTCCGAAACCAAAGAAGAACAGCACTTCGGTGGCACTTCGGTGGATTCCGCATCACACAGGTTTTGCCCAGGCGCAATGCGTTACTGGTTTGCCCGGCAACTCCTCCGCCTGACAAGTGACGTGAAAAGCCTGACCGGAAGGAGTCCAGTAGGGGGAATGAAGGTCCTCTAGCTGCACGGCCATGGAAAATTGCATCCGAAAAAATCCCACAGCAATGACTTCCCTCAAGGACATAACGTTCAAACTAAAGCAGGGTCCGCCACACGTATAGAATCCCAGAAACAGAGGCGCCCAAACTAGCAAGCCCCGCCTCCTCATTGACAAGGCTGACACCATCCTGACACTCTGCAAAGTCCAACAAACAAACTCACTAGGTCACTCGGCACTGGAGCGAACAAGAACAACAACAATCGGTCCAGTCGAGTTTCATATGATGGAGGTCGTTCGGTACCTGGGTACCTTTTTCATCGGTCCATTGTTGGTATCGAAAGCGGAGCAACACCTGCTGCAGGTGTTTCGGTTTCCTCTTTCGCTTCAGGTCTGCACCTGCTGCACCAACAGTTTCGGCCCACGGTTCTTGAAGAAATTGATCACTGCCTCCGAAGGCCAACATGAAGAAGGGGCACCAGTGAGGGCACAAGGCAGTGGTACAGTTGTGAAGAGGAAACCATCAAAGGAACATCAAACCTCTCCCAGTGCCAACGGGTTCGCTTCTCGGACGTCTGTGGCCAGGGATGTGGGAGCCCCTTTGATCCCACGCATTGGTGAGCTGGACCTTGACACAAACAGACGGTGAGGCCAACGCATCATTGGTACTTGGTGGTGAAAGGAGAAAATACCCCCAAAGCCTTTAGATCTAGTACTGTATGTTCTCGTGATGTCGCACATCGGTGCATTCTATTGCGAATCGGTGCGGCTTTGCAAGGAAAACACTTGCTCTCCAGACCCTCTTTTGTGGTCAACACCACTCTACACCTTTTGGCTGTCCTTGAACCTCTCATTCCCCTCCTCCAATGGGTCACCTCTAAGTTTTGTGCTGGTTCATTCTTCATCGGTTCCCGTTTCAATCAGAATGTTTGGATTCTCGAGAGTACACTCTCCCAGTTCCTTCTGTTCCCGTCCTCACCAAGAAGCCAAATCGGACGAAACGCAAATCCGGACGAAACGCCATGGGAGTCTCCTGAACCCAAAGGAGATGTATCGACCCGTGACCCATCCGCATTGACTGCTCCCCATCGACTGCGACGGCCTCGACTCCAGAACCCACTACTTCTGTGACCTGGCCACCGGTCAAAGTCACAACTTGCAGCTCAGTTGCAAAGAACCCTGAAGCAACTACAACATACTAGAAGATCCTACAAGAACCATCAAGCAACCCTGCATCCTAAATGTGCGTTTGCCTTTGGCTCAAGAATTGTAGTGGGTTCATGTGGGTTCCATGTTTTCTGTCGTACACTTGCGGGGTAGTAAAGTCAAGCAAATGCTTCGCAGGATGACCAGCGAACGTGAACCAAACGCGTGACGGCCTTTTCTTCCTGTGTGCCAGCGGGTCATGCTCCACAAGATCCTCTTTGTCATTATCCACCTGCTGATCATCGGACCATCTTCTTCGCTCAAATCATCTCAGATCGAAGTCTCCGAACCTTCCCAGACCATGGCATGGCATTCGATCCAAGAAGCTCCTCTGCTCGGCATCTGTCCCCTTGGACCAGCCCCACAACTGTGAAGGCTCCGCTTCCGCGTGCCCGACTGGCCTGGTGGCCCGATCGGGCCCGGAAAGACTCGGCCGGCGGCTCTGTGCGTCCTGGATGGGTCGCCTGTGTCCCAGCGATCGACTGCGCGATCGTGCATGTCAGGGCAGTCAGAGTCTCGAAGTCGACCGCGTGGTCTCAACATCGATGATCAGGCAGTCTGGATTCCCAGAATCTGCAGGAATCTGCCCTTTCGGAAGCACCAGCCAAAGTACTGCCCAAACTTCGGTTGTGGCGACGTTTAGAGCTCGGTCGACAGGCCCGGTCGACAGGCCTGCAGGTCCCCAGTGGCACAGCGTAGGTTTTCGTCGTCTGAGCCACCCAGCTGGGGATGAGCAAAGACCAGCTGAAAGACCACGCGCTCCATGTCGCAGTGGTTGAAGACCTCTCAGTGAGGCATCAAACAATGAGTTTGTGCAAAACAAAAGGAAACAGTACGAGCTGCGAGCACTTCATGTGTTCTTCTTTACTATGTTCTTTTCTTTAAAGCCCGGGCCCGCCTCGCCTACTTGATTAAGTAAGGGAGAAGTTTGCTCCTAGCTACTTAAGCTACTACCTACTGGACGCAGGATGGCTCATGCTTCTTCAAGACAATTTGGTTCTTAGACTTTTAGGGAAACTTAGCTTCTCTTTAACGAACAGCTAAGAGTGTCATCATGTGAGAGCCAGGCAATCACCGGTTCAGGAATGATGAGGATCCCCACTCCGAGAGCACCTTCTAAGAAGAGCACCTTGTTACACCTCTAGACTGTATGTGCTACGAAGAACTTCTTGGACATGCCATGCATCCTACAAGTCCTGTGGAGGCCAATGGGCCAATGCAGGAAGGACCACCTGCTGGGGTCTGCTAACTTTCGGCCAATGTCCCACCCCATCATTAGTCCTTCCGTTGCACCCTCAAAAGCAAAACACTATTACACCCCGTCACGGCCAGCTCGGCCACCAGCTTCCATTGCACGGCCTAGTAGCGTCCTTGCTCCTAGTAGCGTGGCCCTTTGCTCCTAGTAGCGTCCTTGCTCCTTGTAGTAAGGCCAGGAGCCCCTAGTAGCGTCTTTGTTACTGCCGTTCGCAGCTGAATCCTGCCTCGTGCTCAAAGGAGTCGTCGAAATACAGCAGTTCGCCCTCTTTCATCCATTGGTGTATCACATCCGCCACGCGCAACGTAGCACAGCCCTCTGTGGGACTGGATGGAATGGAGAGCCTGAGACACACAGAGACTGCAACGAAAGAAGAAAGGAGATAGACTTTTCCTGAAAACCCTTTATCAACATCTTTTGCAAAATGGGTTCGTGGATCTCGCCAGAGCCTAAAAAGCCTGTCCGTGTGTGGTAAAGGGAGTACTCATAGTCTTCCAATATTGAAATCCTGGTCCAACAGCAGGTCCTACCGTTCAGGCACATGGTTTCACCCACATGTGCACCGAATATACTCAAATGTATGGCTTATTGCTTGGGATCTACCCCACAATGGAAATTGTCGTCCGCACAATATGCATCCAGACTTGCCACTATTGGAAGGAAGATACAGTACTATTCTTCTTGCTTTTGGGATTGGAGTATTCAAGTGGTGCAGGCCATCTTCCTTCAAAACAGGATACAAAATGATACAAACCCAAAAACTCTAGATACTTGGTACATCTTGGTACCCTGTAAGGTAAACCACCACTTGAAAAAAAGGAACCAAAAGTCTGGTAAAGGGGTCTCCGAACATGAGCAACATGGTGTTCCACCATTTCCGAGCTGCCCCAAATGCCACTTGAGCTGTGCATTGGTCGTCCCATAGTGCGGCTTGAGCCAGGCACCAGGTGCCAGGGCGGAATAGCCTGCACGGATCAAGGGCATTCCCAAGGCCTCACGTGCCACACGGCGTGCCACACGGCCGATGGACATATACAGAAGCGGCCCATTGTTCTTCCCCAAACAGCTTTGCGGCCATTGGGGTTCTCAATTCTTGCATCAAGATGATTTCTGGCCCTTTGTCTCACTTTGTCTCCTTTTGTATCCTTTGTCTCCACATGGCTCTTCTGGATGCTGGGGTGAGATGTGTGATGATTCTGCTTTGTCTCCCTTTGTCTCCTTTTGTCTCCCGTGGCTCTTCTTGGGTGTTCGGGCTGAGATGATTCTGCTTTGTCTTCCTTTGTCTCCTTTGTTTCTCATGGCTCAAAACGGCCGGCAAAGACTTTCAAGGTTTGCTGGCAACAGAAACATCAAGCTGTCGCTGTTGTTTGGTGGCGACGCTGGTGTAACTTGTTCGGCTTGAGTTCTTGGACCGGAAGAAACAAAAGGCCACATGTCATCAACAAAACATGGTATATAAGTGTACTTGCAGCAAAATGCATTGCATAAAGTCGTGGAGGCGAACAGCGCCATCTACGTAAGATATGTCCATACTATAAAAATCTCTCAAAGTATTCTGCAGGTCCATATGTTTCTTTTTTGGGGGTTTCTCGGTTTCTCTGACTTCCTCACATCCACTCACGAAAGGAAAGCGTCCTGCAGCTCCTGAAAGAGCGCACAAGCTCTGGGCGACTCCACTGCGCAGCGGATGCCCCCGGAGTCACTGGCGTGCCAGAAAGCGTTCACCTCGAACCTGCTCCATCGACCGCCACGGTGTGAATGGATGCATTCCTCGAAAGGGCGAGGAATGCGGGGTCCAGGTGCGATGCTCGTCCAAAAAATTTGGATCATCTTTGAAATTGAAGTCAAAAAAAAATCATCTGAAGTAGAAACAAATGATTGAAATGATACAATGGATCCCACTCAACTCTCATCGCAAATTACTACAAGATCAGCAAGAACCAAAGACCTGTCTTAATAATTAAGGGTCTCATCTGTTCGCAGGGATACGACTTCTGCAGATATTGATGCACACTGAGAAGAGAATCGAAAATTTCAGTTTTCAGCCAAGTCTGTCCTTCTCCCGATACATCTGTCCCGCTTCCTTCAACTCCAGGTACTCCAACAGCAGCTCAGGCACCGCGGCTCGCAGGGCTTGAAATGCCGGAAGCATCCAACTTGCTGAGACGGTCTCTGTCGGAAAGCTCCGCCATGGTCTCCCGACTCCAAGCCCGGGCACATAGCGCTTGGGAAACTGCCCCTGGGCCAGCGCGAGCAAGTGTTTTTTGGGCCAGCTCAAGCTGGGAAGCGTCACGCTGTTTAAGTTGAAATGAAACATGGCCTCCTCCTACTACAAGGCGAATTATCTACTGCCCACTGCCACACCATCGCCAACATCAAGTCACCATGCGTCACATCCCCCCGGGTCCTACCTTCTTGCCATAGCCCAAACGGATCAGTTCTTCCTCAATCTCTGCTACCCGCCCGCGCATCGCGGACGCTACGGAGGGTGGCATCTCTTCATGCAAGACCTGCTTCAGCAGGTCCAAGTGCCGCAACGCATCGGCGACCTCGGTCAACCGTGATGTCGAACGTCGAAAGAAACAGAAGAAACATTTCTGGCTCACTGTGTGTGTGTGTCACCCTCCGTTTTAAGGAGTTTGTTTTCTCGAAGAGTGTTCCTTTTGATTGTAGAAGTTGCAGGGGAGCAGGCCTGCCTCAGAGCTCTACTTAACAAAGCTCTCTGCACTGAGGATATCACTGGAGACGTCCAGTGACGTACCTGCTGAAGGAACTTTAACATACGCTGTGACTCCACTCTCCATTTTTTGATTCCATGGTTCTTGCACGATACTTTCCCCCAAACCCTGTCTTGCAGCTGAACCGCGCTGAAGTTTGCCACCGCCCCATTCCGCAGACAAATGGGCAGATTGTTCAACATTTCAATTGAGCTGACCACTTCACCTTGGGTTTCCCTCATCCCTTTCCACGTGGAACTGAGCTAACTGAAAACCCAATGACTCAGTGTGTGCCGCTGCGTCGTCCCACTTGGGTGCACAGTGTGATCCCCCGCAAGGGGGCGCTGAGACCATTGCGCTGAATCACATATCGATTCAGCTGCTTTTCATTCGTGAATCAGGTTACTGGCTCGTTTTTTGTCTCACCCATGAATCTTCAGACCCCAATGCTGCCGAGCTAGTTACACACACATGGACACACACATGTACATACAACCCCCCCTGCTTTCTCTCTTGTGCTTTCTTATTCGTTTTTAAAGTTTTCTTTCAGGCTCGTTAGGTGGCTCTTGGGGCTCGTTTCCCTGCCCCTCGGCTTTTGTTTGGTTCTTTCTCTCTTGCCTGTTCGTTTCTCTTTCTAGGTCTGCCTTTCCGCTAAAGGCTTTTTAGGTTTGTAACGAGGCCTTTTCAGTCAAGGGCTAAGTATTCAAGTGCTAAGTATTCACTGTTTCGCTACTCCTATCTTTCCTTCTTGCCCTCTTCTTTTTGCTCTTTCTGCCTTTCTTTCTTTCTTTTCTAAGGCTTGTTAGGTACCTAGTACCTAGTCATGTTCTTTACCGCCAGAGAGCGCCGCAAAGCTGCCGCGCGTGTGTGTGTGTGTGTGTCACCCTCCGTCTCTACAAGTTTGTTTTCTCGAAAAGTGTTCGTTTTGATTGTAGAAGCTGCAGGGGAGTGGAGCAGGCCTGCAGAGCTCTACTTAACAAAGCTCTCTGCAGTGTCCTGACGATATCACTGGAGACGTCCAGCGACGTACCTTCTGAAAGAACTTTTACATACGCTGTGACTCCACTTTCCATTTGTTGATTCCATGGTTCTTGCACCCCCAAACCCTGTCTTGCAGCTGAACCGCGCTGAAGTTTGCCACTGCCGCATTCCGCAGACAAGTGAACAGATTGTTCAACATTTCAGCTGGGCTGATCACTTCACCTTGCGTTTCCCTCATCCCTTTCCACGTGGAACTGAGTTAACTGAATACCCAATGACTAAGTGTGTCTCCCCCTGTTTTAAACGGTTCTCTTTTGCACGCGCGAATTGAAGATGCAGGGGGCGCAAGCAGCCCATCCAGTCTTGCACCAACGAAGACACTGGATGTGTGCTAGTGAAACTGATCCAGGACGACCTGCGCGCGACACCACTCCACTTTCTCCGCGCGTTTTGTTGTTTCCATTGTGGTTCTCATGCTATTTCCCTAAACTCCCCCCGCAGCTCTGAGCCGCCGCCGCGTTCTGCAGTCACGCACAAACTTTTGTTCAACAAATTCAACTGAGTGGACCACTTGAACCTGCGACTAAGTCTGTCTCGCTGCGCTTTCCCATGTGGGCGCGCAATGTGATCCCCCGCGAGGGGGGGCTGAAGCCGTTGTGAATCACGTATCGATTTAGCGGCCTTGAGTTCTTGGATTATGATATCGGATTGATTTTGTTTCACCACTGATCGCAAAGCGGCTGCGCTAACGGTTTTCATGCTGCCGAGCTCACGGTTCAAGCCTTTTTTGCAAGTCTTTTCACTTTCGTATGCGAGCGCAGGGGTCTGACCCCGTAATTTGCCGTTCATTCGGCACTTTTGCTCGACAGATGCGCACGGCGCTACACCTATCTTTCCTCTTGCCCTCTTCTGTTTGCTCTTTCTGTCTCTCGTTCTTCTTTTTTCTAAGGCTTTTTAGGTGGCTATAAAGTGGGGAACGCGTGAGGCTAGCTATGTGGTAGCTGCTTCCCAGCGGATTGATTTTGTTGTGACAATCTCACAAACGCGTGTAGGGAGATTGAATGTAACGCGCTGTAGTCACAGTGGCCACCTTTTGCCCTTGGAACTACGGCCCAACTTTTCCCTCTTGGAGTGGTCCAAAGACATCATCCTTCGGTTGCGATCGTGGAACTACGGCATCCTAAACTTGACATTGGCGCCCTGCAGGCCGCCGGAGCGGCAGTGCCCCCGCGATGCGTCGCCTTTACAGGTCTGAACTTCAATTCAGTCTGAGGAACGTGGAACGTGATGTGGAACATGGACAGGAGACTTTGCTTCCTTCAGGAACAACTGCTTTCCAGAAGGCGATTGAGACATGCGCCGGAATAACGGCTGTCTGTGTGTGCCTCCCCCTGTTCCAAAGGGTTCTCTTTTGGGCGCGAATTCAAGAAGGCAGGGGGCGCACGCAGCCCATCCAGTCTTGCACCAACGAAGACACTGGATGCGCGCTGGTGGAATTGATCCAGGACGCTGGATCAACGTACCTGCGCGTGACACCACTCCACTTTCTCTGCGCTTTTTGTTGTTTCCATGGTGGTTCTCATGCTATTTCCCTAAACCTCCCCCGCAGCTGTGCCGCTGCTGAGCCGCCGCCGCGTTCTGCAGTCACGCAAAAACTTGTGTTCAACAGATTCACCTAACTGAGCAGATCACTTCGCCTTACTGTTCCATCGCCTTGTCCTCGTGGATAATGAAATTGAATGAACCTGTGACTAAGTGTGTACGCATGTGGGTGTGTGTGCGTGTAACCCTTGGAATCAAAGGGAACCTTTAGGTTTGGAAC